TCCTAAATCATAGGTAATCGTAGAAAAACCTGAGACATATGCAGATAAAAGTCATGTCTCAGGCTTTTCTATGATAACCTATGCTTAAGTATTTCCGGCAGAATCCGAAACGTCAGAACAAAAACACTCTTGTTCCAGTGGTCACTTCTTCTTCTTCTTCTTCTTCTTCTTCTTCTTCTGATTTGTAAGTACTGTTGGAAAAGTGAACGTTTTTTAAACGTTCGTGTGCAGATAAATATGAGATGATGGGATGGAAACAATAGGATTTTTAAAGGCAGTGTCCAAATAAATAACAACTGGGGCTCCAACACGCTTCATGGTCTTCGATGAAAAAAAGCTGTAAATGGTGTGCTATCTCTTAAGCGACGGACGCACTTGAACGCTGAACAGTTGAGCGGAGTAGGCGTAACTTACTGGATGCTTGGAACGCAGCTGTTATACTTATTGACAATACTTTGGGTCTGCAGCTCCGAATGCTACCAAAAAGTGTTCTTTATGGAAAGCAGAGTACAAAAGTCCCAAAATTACTGACCGATGTTGTCCTAATCGGTTTTCAGTAAAAAACAAATATATGTAATACTAATGGAAGACGATAAGCTGCTGGTTTCCGCTCCTAGTGGCTAAAAAGAGCACCATAATCAATAAATATATATCTGATTCCTGGACACAAGAGGCCAGCTTTCCGTAGTGGATTCAGAACAAATCAAATAGTTCAGCGATCACCCTGCAACTCTCTGAAATGCAAAATTGTATTCAAAATCAAATTAACAATATGTACACAGTGCGGACGAATAATAATATCCAAACGAACAAACCTGGTACCAAGTCGCTTACGATTATACCTTCTCACGTTGACACGCCCACAACCGTAATCATGTTCCTCTTTCAGTAAAATTTTATGCAAATTAGTTCCTTGAACAAAGCTTACAAATCCGAATCCGAGTGAAGCTAGTTTTTTTTTACTGACAGCGCGATATACATTGATTATGCGTCCGAATTGTGAAAAGTAGGTTACCAAGGCGTCGCAGTCCTTGAAGTTTCGCCGATCGCGGATGAACACGTGACAAGCATTTGGATCAAGCTCAGTTCTCTCCATATGCTTTTTGCCTGCAACGAGTGAGAACTGATGCATGTTCAAAGCAAACATAAGAACACTTATAAATACAAAGCAATCAGTAGGATTGTAATCATAGTAACCAAATGCTTTTCAGACGATAGTAAACTGAACTCAGGTACCTGGCTACATGCTCTACAGCTCATGCGATAATGAGCAGATCAACAATTTCAGAAATAAGCTGTCGCATTCGACCGGTCAGAAAGCATAATCTATGAACAGGCACCAAGTCAAACCCAAAAGTTCGATGTAAACAAATCCAGCAATTGCAAATTAAATGAAAGAGTGTGCGACTTATCACGGTTGGTGTTGTAGTTCGTTATTTCAGTTTATTTCTCAATGCATTTCAAAATGGTGCTAGACCATGTCCTTGAAATCCTTAGTGGTTACACGATATCAGGAAAATTGTCAATTTGCTCGTAACATTTCACAAACTAAGTAACATTGTGCTGGAAAATGACATCTGTCTAACGTTCCTACAGTTCCTACAGCCGACATAAATATTTAGCCAAACGATTCTGCAAGACTGCTCCCAATAAATCAGAACAGGCAAGTTGTAGTAAGCAGTTCAGAAAAGAAGAAGATGATGATGAAGACGTGAACGTCGGAACATGTCTTTTGTTGACGCGACGATTATTATTCTAGCTCAAATCCATTATCAGAGGAAGTCACAAATATGCGTGATGAGGTCACTAGGCTTGCAGTATTTACAGGAGGCAGTTGACATTCATTAAATGGTGGTACTAGCAGTGAGAAACAAGAAGGCTCACTCCCATTTGGCGGCTCCCCTGCCGGTGGCGTAAACAGCTTTTAGCCGTGAGCTGATCAAGTTTCGATTATCCGACCCATAGAAGATGGACACGTGCAGAGGCCTCACTACTCCATCTTGTATGTGGGGAGATGTCTAAGACAGAGTTAATGCCCACGCGGGAGGGCATGGGTATCAAAAAGGTTCGAGTCTTAGAGAACCTCTTGGTGGCATTGAAAATGCGTCTTGTAAATACCACACCACTGGTGCCCTCATCGAACTTGTTTACGACTGAAGGTGATGACGGACACGAGCGTCAGACGAAAGTGCAGTGGCATTATTACTTTCTTCACCTGCTTGATCATCCTCCGTCTCCTTCTTCTCCTCCTCCTTCTCCTCCTCATCATTATCCTTATTATCGTCCTTATCTAATCATTTCTTCGTCCTCCTGCCCACTGCGTGAATAATTTAAGGAGCAGGGCTGGCATAGACGTTTACGAGAGAAGATTTCATGCACATTAACGAAGATGAGCCTAAAGCTGCCGCAAAATATATCCTCAGACTGCAATCCTTGCTCAAGACCATTAATTAGTTCGTAAACGAAACAAATCGTACCTCTTTTGTGTATATGACACAGGGAGTGGATGCATGCATTCCTCTTTCCTTGGAAGAGTGTGATGGTAGACC